TCCATCCTAGCTGAGCCGGCGTGGGGTTGGGGAGGAAGAGAAGGCAGAGGGCTGCACAGAGCCGCGTTCCGTGCCCCTTCTCCATGCAGATCTCTGCAGTACTCACCCCTCAGGTACCAGGGGGCAGTCCTGGCCCCAAGGCTGTAGAACATAGTAGTAGCATATAGATTCTGGAGTCAGATACAATGGAAATCCAATCTGGGCTACCCCACCTGCTAGCTCTGTGACTTTGGAAAATTAACACAACCCCTCTGAACCTCATTTCCTCCTCTGCAAAATGGGGTGATGGTAACGTCTTTCTCCAAAAACTGCGGGAAGATTGAATTAGGTGTCACCTATGAAATGCTTAACCCAGTGCCTCGCACACAGTAGGTGCTGCGCTATGGCAGCTGCAGTTGTTATCGCGCCCCCCGCTCGAAGCTAACTCTCCTTCTTTTGGAAATGAAAGGAATCTTGAGCCTCCAGGTGACTCAGACCAGTGGGGTCTGTGGTTAGGTGTGTGAGCCTGTGCTCTCACAGTGTCTGAGGACATTACTGGTATTCTCTTGCCTGCCTAGATTGGAACTGCCCCCCAGCAGGTCCCTGGCACGTTGCTGTCCCTCACATCTCTCTCTTTCCCTGGCAGGAGACAGAAGAGCTGGAGGAGGAGAAGTCGGGCCTGCAGAAGGAGATCGCTGAGCTGCAGAAGGAGAAGGAAAAGCTGGAGTTCATGTTGGTGGCTCACGGCCCCGTGTGCAAGATCAGCCCCGAGGAGCGCCGATCGCCCCCAGCCCCCGGGCTGCCACCCATGCGCAGTGGGGGTGGTGTGGTGGGCGCTGTGGTGGTGAAGCAGGAGCCCCTGGAAGAGGACAGCCCTCATCCTCATCGGCGGGGCTGGACAAGGCCCAGCGCTCTGTCATCAAGCCCATCAGCATTGCTGGGGGCTTCTACGGGAAGAGCCCCTGCACACCCCCATCGTGGTGACCTCCACGCCTGCTGTCACTCCAGGCACCTCAAACCTCGTCTTCACTTACCCTAGCGTCCTGGAGCAGGAGTCGCCCGCGTCGCCCTCCGAGTCCTGCTCCAAGGCTCACCGCAGAAGCAGTAGCAGTGGGGACCAGTCATCAGACTCCTTGAACTCCCCCACTCTGCTGGCTCTGTAACCCAGCGCACCTTCCTCCCCAGCTTGGGAGGGGGTCCTCCTCGCTCCTCCTTCCCAGGGACCAGCACCTTCAAGCGCTCCAGGGCCGTGAGGGCAAGAGGGGGACCTGCCAGGGAGCTTCCTGGCTCTGGGGGATCCAGGTGGGACTTGGCAGTGAGTATTGGAAGACTTGGGTTGATCTCTGGAAGCCATGGGACCTCCTCCCTCATTCATCTTGCAAGCAAATCCTGTTCTTGAAAAGCCTTGGAGAACTCGGTTTGGCGGACTTGGACATCTCTCTGGCTTCTGAAGAGCCTGAAGCTGGCCTGGACCATTCCTGTCCCTTTGTTACCATACTGTCTCTGGAGTGATGGTGTCCTTCCCTGCCCCACCACGCATGCTCAGTGCCTTTTGGTTTCACCTTCCCCTCGACTTGCCCCTTCCCTCCCCAGTGTCAGTTTCAGTCCCTCTTGGTTTTTATCAAATTTGCCATGACATTTCATCTGGGTGGTCTGAATATTAAAGCTCTTCATTTCTGGAGACGGGGCAGCAGGTGACTCTTCTGCTGGGGCTGACTTGTCCAGAAGGGGACAAAGTGCAATACAGAACCTTCCCTACCCTGGTGCTTCCCAGTGCACCATCTCCAGAACCCCAGCAGGGCTTCCTGAGCTCTCAAGGAGATGCTGCCATCACGGGGAGGCTCAGAGGACCCTTCCTGCCCACCTTCGGAGACGGCTTCTGGAGGAGCGGCTTGGCCAGAAGACAGGGTGTGAGTGAGACAGTGGGGTACAGGTTGGGTTTGCCAAATGCCTAATTACCAGGCCAGGAATAGTGCCAACAAAGACACACAGGTGTCCTAGCCAGCTTCCCTTCACCTGGTGTCTTGAGTAGGGCGTCTCCTGTAATTACTGCCTTGCCATTCTGCCCCGGACCCTTCTCTCCAGACCAGGGAGGCACCCTTTCCCTAGGAGCTGTACATTATACTCCAAGTCCCTGCCGGCTTCTGCCTCTCTCCCACCTTGGCTCTCAGGGTGACGCCACCCACAAAGATTTAATGAGCGTGGGCCTGGACCTTCCCCAGATTGCTGCCAGGCAGCCCCTCCCCAAGCCTCAAAGGAGCATTTGCCATGGATGGAGAAGCAGGGGAGGGAGGCAGGAGGCTGTCACTGGAGTGGCA